AACATTTTAGTTATAGGATAAAATTATACCTCTTATTTTGTTTGTGAACCTCTTAGCTGATCAGACAAGAGGCAAAACTGCACATTATTTTACAGGTATTAACAAGCATGGGCAAACTAAATTGCTGAATGCAAGAAACCTGTTTAAACAAATAAACACAAGATAGGAGGAGATTTTTCAGAAATTACAAGTTAAAAACATGTTTAGTCATATGAAAAAATCTGGTTAACATCAGTTCTATAGAAATATCATACCCCAGAAAGCATAAAGCATAAGGCAGGACTATACCCTAGCAGGGAACCTAGGGTAGGGCACAGTTCAATTTTACCAAGCTGGAATATATTTGGAAGATAAGAAGAAATTGGATTACCCAGAGAGAATGCATATGAACTCAAGCAGAACATGCAAACTCAATACAAAACTCAAGAATTCTGAAACAACAGCACTAACCACAAAGCCACCCTTTACCAGGAATCAAAACATCTCAGAATTCCTCTGGCATGCAATTTTAGATTTATTCCTCACAAAGATACTCTAACACCTGAAACTGTGAAACCCCCTTTAATGGAAACACGACCTGAGCAATAGTCAAGTTACACAGTGTAACTTGCTCCCTTTTCCAAAAGTAACCAAATATTAAAACTAAAGGGAAAAAGAACCCAATAGTTCACTAAATATCTTTTGATCCCATTCTCACACAAATTATCAAATTTCAAAATGGCAAAAAATAAAAAAACACTCCTTTTTTTCCCCCATCACAAGGAAAAGAAATTGTTTGAAGCACTGTACTGTAAACAGTCAAACACAGGGGCATGCCCAAGCAACATACCAACTATTAGCCTGACTATAGTGAGGCTTGGGGCCTGAGGGTCACAACCAGGCTGTACTGTTTTCTGACCCCAATCAAGACTGACATCTGCACAGAGATGACTGAAATGCCAAGCATTCAGAGATGACTGAAATGGAGCGATCCAGGTATATATTACCTGTGGTGCAAGCTGGAGAAAAACTACAAAAGTGCTAGCTACAGAAATTCCACTTACCAGCCAGTGTATGACTCTCATTTGCATTCTGCAGCCAACAATCAAAAAAGTGCATATCATAGATGATGGATTGTTGGTCTTTTCCCCCAAGCTAACTCAGTGAAAAGTCAAGTTGAAAAATAAACATAAATTGCTAAATGGGTCAGGAAAAGGGAAGAATAAGTGACCATACTCAAATAATAATTAAAAAGAACTTCTCAGAATTGTGCTTAATAGTTCTAACCGCATATTGTCACTTTAGGATCTCTCTACATTCTGTATCCATGGAAAAATCCTTTAAGAAGAGTTGCAGCCAAACAGACCACAATATATATCTAGTTACACCAGACCACATCCACAACAATGCAGAGCACTCATGAAGTTTCCATGTCTAACCTCCTTTGCAGTTTTCCAAATTTGCCCCCTCAGGCCCCCATTAATGAAGTCTTCCTTATAATTGCTCACTCTATGCTGTGTCCAATTTCACCAGTTCTAGCTGAAAACACCACTCTCATCTGAAATGGAGGAGGCAGTGTGGTTTTTCCAACACAGAAGTCACAATCCCAATGACACAGCTTTGACGTCTTATACTGGTAACTGGGTACTTAGCTGGACCATTTAGCTTGTTCTTCCACAGTCTTTAATCTATATTACCACTCAGCACAAGGATGTTGACACTTCAAACTTCCGGGCAAGTTTTTGGAGTTTCTAAGAGAAAAAAAAACTTTTTTTTAATTGAAAATAGATAACAGTAAAAGGAAGTCCCCTCCTGTCAGCAACCCTGACAATCTAAAAACACTTAGGATTTGTCAGACAGCTTAACTATGAATAGACCAATCTCCCTAAGATACAATGCAAAGTGCTACAAAATGGATCATGAGATCCACAGAGAGCCTCAGTCACAGAGTACAACACAAAAAGAGCAATGCTTTAATCCAGTCAAGAGTCAATTCTACTGATCCTATGAACAACTTCTGTGAGCAAATCTCCCACGGCAACAAGCTTTTCTACACACTTCATGTTAATGAAGATGTGCTATAAGCCACTTTGTCATCCGATAGTTTAGAATCGGGAAAATCCCAAAGATTTGCAGAAATACTAAAACAAATGGTATGGGGTCTTTAAAAGATTAGAAAACCAATGGTACACTCAAGCAGGATATGTTGTAAATTCGTCACAGCAGAGAGGCCAGAAATACATTCCATGTCTTGGCGGACTGTCTGGCCTTCACCCAGGACAGGTTTTTCTACATTCTTTAAAGTAATCAACAGAAATCGCCAACATGAGACAACTCCACACTAATTTCTATCAAAACATAAAAAGATTTTTGTTTTAAAGTAATTGACAAATTGACAATAACTCCACATTACTGACGTATTAAGATGTTCTTAGCAACTACATCAACAGACCAGTAACAAATCACAGTATAAGACATGCCACAAAATTTATATTTTAACATCCCCTTTGAGTCTAAGGAGAAATACCACACCCTTGAAGTTTAGGATTTTCTTACAATCAAATTTAACACCATCATCAAGCACAGCAGGTCAGGTACGATGCCAAATTCTAAGCTGATTAATATTCCTTATGTCAAGTTACTTAACAATGACTTATAGTGTTGCAATAATTAGAGCTATCTTTAATGGGAAGAGAATAGATTCTTGTATCTTCCAAGATTGTGTTTAACTTGGAGCAACAGTGCAAATGTTCACTACTTCTTAATGAAAGGGACACCAACCATGTCCTACCCAAAAAAAAATATTAAGACCTGGCCAGACCAAAGGATAGTGTGGTAACTTAGTGAATCACAAAACAGCAAATGCTGCACATTAACTTTGCAATGAAAAGCCTAAATGCCTTCAATACCTTCTGCCTTGAACATTTGCTCATTTTTGGTCCTGTTAGAGCAAACCTGGACAAGACTTTCCAGTAATGCTTATGGGAAAAGAGTAGCTGATTAACTGCACAACACATTTTCCATGCGAACCAAATACATCTTAATTTTAATTAAACTGGGTGCTTTCCAACTGAATGCTCATAAATAGTCTACTGCAGTCCCAGAACTACAGGGGGCCTGGAGCGAACACTGTCCTTATATAGAGCTTTTTGTTCATCCCATGTTCCATTTCCTTCTCCAGATATGTACTGTAGTAAGCCACCCCTGTCCTCTTCCTAGCATCATGGTACTTGCAATATTACGGACTTTGTTGTCCCACATGGGAAATTTGCGTTGCAGGCAAATACAAGACATAACACAATACAGGAACAGGTAAAGGTTTATTCCATGCTGAAATGAAAAGAGACACAATGTTTAGGCTGTCCAAAACTTTGCATCTCCTGTCTTTTGACCATGGAATAAATGTTTACCCATTCCATTGCAGCCAACACATGCTGAAGCAGCTACCTACTCGAACTTTATAACACTACAACACAATACATTTAACACTTCTTAACTCATTTACAAATAAGAAACATACATGCATAAAGTGAAAGGAAAACAAGCTTGCAGCTTGTAATTGTGAAAATGTAATTTTCACAATTTAGGAAAATAAACCTTGTCATCAGTGGCTGAGACAGATACATAAGACATACAGTATGCATGACAATAAAACATAAAATAGTAAAATATCACGAGTTGTTCAGATTCAAGCAGGTTGCTAGCCGAAGGAATAAAGAATAACTATTTGCACTAAAATTAGGCAGTCTAAATCAACACCCTGATGGAAAGAGCTCAAATACACTGTGTAAGGGGTGGTCATGACAGCCATCGATCATGTTGGCCTTCCACACTGTTTGATGTCAATGTCTCCCAGCTGTACCTGTTGTGCACCCAAGACTTCGCTGGCTACCTTCACTGTCCTGCTCAGTCTTATTGCGTGTGTTAAGGTCACCAAACCAGGCTACCAAGTGAATGTCAGAACAGAGTCAATAAAACTTCCATAGAATAAAGACTGCTTAATTGTACTACACACACTTAAACAGCAGAGCTTTCTCTGTAATAATCAGAATTTCCTCAGAAAAGAGCATCCGTAATTTCCTGAACTTTAAGCTTATAATCAACGATAGTGCAAAATATAACTGACAACGATGTCAATTTCTTGTTCCTCAATGACTATTGGTTTTGCAATGGGTAGTTGCTTCCTATAATTAACGACTAAAACGATAAGTTAAAGAAAGATGTGTTGTTACATTTTTCCGACAAAATAACCCACTACAGGCTCATGATCAATGTCTACATCTTAGAGACCGACAAGAACAGAGTCATCAGCAAACTTAAAGCCGTGTCTGTTCTCAAAAGGTATTCGTCAGTCTGTCTAAAGAACGTACAGGATGAGGGCTAGCAGATTTGATATAAATTACTTTGTATGAAGAATTTAAATTCTTATATTAGACGACTGTACACCGCTAAATCTCTCTTTTAGTTGCCTTCTCCCGATTTCTAGAACCACAGAGTAGCAATTATTTTGCAATTGCTTACATTGCACGCGAAACGTTTTCAAGAGATTTCAGATGCTTGGTAACACATTCCTTAGAGATCTCAGGTAAGTTAAGCAATTGAGACAATAGCTGACGGTTCGCATGATTCATAGAACAGTTCAAAGGAGGGGTAAACCAAGCAAGAGATTACTGAGTGGAGATAGCGATACTGAGATAACTCCGAAAGAAAGCTCGAACCATGCAGCTTTAACAAGCCGGTTTTATTGGTCTGGGATTGGATGCCAGAGTAGGTATGCAGACACACATGACTTCAGTGAAACTTTGCCAGCATCAAACATTAACTCTGTAGAGCTCGTATAGTTTTACATGTATATTCTCCACAAATCTACAGCAACCCGGTGACTAAAAATTGCTGTCATTCACCAACGCTCAAATGAACAAGTATACAACGAAGGAAAATAAAAGCGTGCTTTAACCGAATACAAAACAGGCGCTTTGCCTTTGGGAAAAGTAATTTTGCTAGAATTAAACGCTCTGTACCTCCATCCATCGCTGAGCTTCTGCAAAAGCCAAATCACAGCTGACATTGGAATTCTCTCTCCACTCCATCTCGCAGTAATCCTGGCAGCTCTGTAATCCTTTGTTCGCGGTTCCCCAAGGATATTAAGAAAACGAGGTCAAAATATTAGTTTTACAACGGCAAAATAAATCCTGCGCTTGATTGTTAATTCACGACCCCAGAACCAAAGGTAACAGCTGTCTTGTGATTATGCTAGCTGAGATAAATACTCATTGAACTGGTACTCTACCATTGTATATTTATATACGAGTCCGTAAAGTATTGGCGATGGAATCATAGTAACTTGAAAACGCTTCACCTGAAACTTACGCCCTAACCTACATGTTTCCTACATACGTCTGAGCTCTGTAGCTAAAATACTCTTAGTTCTGCACTACTTTCCAGTTAATCAAGACAGACAGAATACGTTTTACGCTCCCCACTCCCCAAAAAGCAACTTTTCAATGCACATACAGGTGTTTCCCGTTATCCCCACGTCTGCAGCTTCACAGACCGTCTTGCTCTGCTCTCTCTGCCTCCCACCTGTATCTTCTGCTCGGTAAAACTCCCCACCCTCCGTCCCCCGGTACCTGATGCCCGCAGTCTTGCATGAATTTCTCCAACAGCCGGAGAAGTCACGAAAACACTACTAACCCTGGACGAGCCTTCAGCCGCACACACTTTGCAGGTCCAGAAACCAGGTCGACTACTTGTACTGAACTTAAAAGTTTGAAAAACCCTGACGGGAGGAAGTCCCGCCCTCTAGTGATTACTTGGCGAAACACGGCTGAAGTTTCTGTAGGTGCCGCAGAGGAGACAGGGCCGGAGGAAGCGCTATCAGTGTTAGTACACATGCAAAGAAAACCAGATGCCAAACCTCTAAGATTAAAAACACCTTCAAGTTAAATTTAAAACAGCAGCACTGCATTACTCGGTTTATTCCTGGCGACATTTTCCGAACATTGCTTTTTAGTAGGGTGCAGTTAATTAAATGGTGTATTATTTTAATTATCTACTTGAACTATTATTTTAATTGTCCGTTTAATCTGCGAAAAACTCGAGCGTAAAAAGACCATTTCAAAATTAAAAAAAATAGAATGCGCTACCGTCGTGTAGACTAAATGGTCATCTCACTGAAAGTATTTTTTTCGAACTATTTCAGTCTGGATTTAGATCATTGAAAATGCTCTTTATTAAAGTTGATAATCTTCTTTTAATATCCCGGTTCTTATGCAAATGACATTCTACTTACTCCATTAAATCAAATTATAGCTGGTATGACATCTCTGGTACTGCCCTTAACGTGACCTTTAAAAGGTTTAAATTTTACCCCTTTGAGCATCGACGTTTTATTTATTTTATTTGTTTTGATGGCTTCTTTTCTCTGATAAACTTGGGTACAGTGCATCCGTGTTGTCTAATCACAGGTAATTTGACATCTGAAGGCTCTGTCATTTAACAACATAAGAGTTTGCAGACGAGTTGATCTCATCCAGTTATTTCTTTAAAACATTGGCTAGCTTGTTCCATACATGCACAACCCTTTGTGTAAAAATGCCTCCTGTTCTTGGATTTCAATGCAATTCCACTTGTGAGCTCGAGTCCACTTTTCACTGTTGATATTGAGAAAGATCACCTGGTTGACTTTGTCATTGACTGAGGATTTCACATTCCTGTATTCAATGTCATGTTGTATTCAGGTACAGTAGCTTGTAAACTAGTCTATTTTAGATTGAAAAAAGATGTGTCTCTTTTAGCTTGTTATGTAGGACTTTCGCTAAGACCCCTTAATGTGTTTGGTTGCTCTGCTCTAGACTGATTTCAGAGCAACAAAAAATGTTTGTTTTGGTAACCAATATTGTACATGATATTATAAATGTAGGCATTCTAGTGATAAGAAGTATTTTAGTTTTCATATATTCCCCCGTGTTGAAATATGGAATATTACAATTACATTTACTGTTTTTATCAGTTTTATGCAGATTATATTTTAATCTACTGTATGTCCACCCTAAACCTGACAGAGTTAGCTGATCCAGTACTCTTTGATTGCATTTCTGAGACAAAAAAGTCTTACAAAATATTTTGAAATTCTTATTATTGGTCTTCTCACAACACCTTGTCAGATGGGGGGCACTAGCCTTGGGATTGATCCTTCATGTGTCTGCAAAAAAAATGGTTCAGATTTTTGTGTTTAAAGGCTTCATTGTTGTAATCCTATGTGGCTGAGCCTCTTAAACGTCACAACTTGTTCAGAGTTAGGCAGTCACAATCCTTACTAGGCCTCACGCTAATAATCACATCACTCCTGCCTCACAGTCCTTGCACTGGCTTCCTCTTAGGTTTCAAATATGTGATATTGATCCTTTTAGGGTAATTATTTTGATTATAATAAATACAACTTGCATATCAGAACCAAAATCTGAATAATAATTTAAATGAGAAGTAAAAATTCAAAACACTAACAATCAAATAACTAATGACGTAATAAAGTACGATATATTTTCTTAAGATATTATCCAAATCATGACACAAGGCACTCTTGCCTTCTGAAAAGCATGTGAAAGGCTACGGACTGAAAAGCTGTAACTGAAGTAGGTCTGCTGGTTCATAAAACCCATGGCCTCCTGGATTCATGCATATATTATATTGTAATATAATTATAAAATAATTAACTTATAGAACACAAAGGCATCGAGCCTGTGTCCGTACATCAGAACCTTCCTGATAAAGACCCCTTTACTCTTTAATTCAGATCACAGTTCTGTGAAAATCTTAGCCCGTCTTCAACATTCCGTTAACACTGGAATGGGGAAGAAGTCTCATCCTTGGCAAGAAGATAAAACACGTAATAGGTAGACTGTTCCGAAAACATGCCTTTCATGTAGAAGAGGAACCACCCTGAGGATTTCAATGAGTAGTCAGTAACTGACACTCCCCAATTTAGTCTCCTTTTAGCTTTCTACAAGCATCTGCAAGAGCCTTCCTTTGGTTAACACAATCCCTGTAATTTCCAGAAATGGCTTTCTCTTTGCGTTTTTAGATGAAGGGTTAAATGCTTCTGCTATACAATAACCTTCTATAAAACAAAATGAATAAGAACAAAGGTTCGAAGGTAATTAAAGGAACGGCACAACGGTTGATTATTATTGAGTTTCAGCATTTGAAAAAAAGCCAGTTTCTTTACTTATGAGTGGAACAAAGAATGTCACACCCATGGAAAATGCTAAAGATTTTCAAGTATGTAGAAAAACCGGCGTGACCTAATTAAAATGTAAACAATGAGTGGAGCACATACCTGAGCACTTGAGTCCAACAGGTGTTGCCTTTCACTCCAATATACTAATACTCACAGCTGACAAAACTGTTGGAATGTTTGAAGGCACATAAAATTCAAAAGCTGATTAGTTACCTGAGAAGAAAATTGACATATATGATGCTTTGTGATATGGCCATGGACCCAATTTTGTATGCCAGGTTTTGTAATTAACTGTAATCAAATGTTTGTATATGGAGACACGGTGGCACTGGGGCCCTGGAAGACAGCATCTTGATTACTTCCAAGAGGCAAATTGTTTTCAATTCCTGACCTGGGGTTCTGTCTGTGTGAAGTCTGTATGTCCTTCCCGTGTTTGCGTGGGTTTCCTCCAGGTGTTCCAGTTTCCTTCTACAGTCGAAAAACACACTGGTCTGTTAATTGGCTTCTGGGACAATTGGCCTTAGGTGTGAGTGTGTATCTGTCTGTATTTTGTGTGCACTGGCGTCCCATCCAGGATGTACCCTGCCTGGAGCATGTTGCTTGGAGGACAGGCAATACTGAACTGGAAGAAGTGGTTAGAAAATGGATGGATGATATATTTGAAAAAACTCACTACAAGGAAATGGGATCTTTCACACAAAACCTTACCTGAAGCCAACTATAGTGTATGTTGTTGTCTTTCCTTACCTCTTTAGATGTTCAACTCTTTTTCTGAAATTGTGAAAGCCATACTTTTTCATTGGTTTCAATGGCTTATATGACTTTTGTGCCGGAACACTGAAGAAAGTTAAAATTGATCCTGTTATTACAGAGTGCCATTGTTTAAGATTCCAACCGATATATAGCGTTATTGTGTAACGAGTCCCCAGATGATCTTTAAGGTCAGACCGGAATAGATTCCTTCACCACTCCCTCAAGCAGAGCATGACTTTATTTACTATTTTTCTTAGCTCACATTTCAGTCCTTTCAAGTTGATTCCTACTTAAAATTTTCTAAAGATACTTTTTGTTGAGTTTATTATTTTCCGATCTTAATAATAAAACATTAATCACTTTTTTGTGCCTTTTAGCATTTTTTCTTCCATGGTTTTGCTGAATCTGTTTTTAACCATTAAACTGTATTTTTAAATAGAAACGACGCAATGGCTAATGACACAGTAGTGTTTATTTAGCCTGAAAAAATCAAATATATGTAGAATCACTCTAATTTTGGACCACGTTTTAACAGGTGCAAAATACCCTACTAAAGGGGGTAGATAAGAAAAGCACTGATGAGCTGTCAGCTTTTTTACTGCATTCCATTGTTAATATGTTTTACACAGATTATGCAGTTTCCTGAAATAATGCCTTGATCTTTGGTCTCAAGTAAAAGCAGAGAACTTGTTTCTTATGGGGAAAAAATACATACACACATTCTTATAAACAGCTACCTAAAAATAAGAAACCTTCTGTGATGCTTCTCTACATTATTGGGAAAACCTTGTTTAAGCTTTGCAGTTAAACAGAACTATACTTTAAATACAAGCATCACACTGATTGAATGCACTGAGTAAGTGCTATGCTGTGATAACCTTTTTATTTGGTCAGATAAGGGATTTATCCACAAATGTCTGTATGTTATCTACCCTAAACTGTTTCAACAGTAGGAAAGGTGATTACATTTGCTAAAGTAAATGACATCAGTTGTGCAAATATTCTAAATTTAAAACAAATACATCATTTTTATTCAAATGCATTAAAAATCTAATTTTATAGAATTGCTCAATATTAGATCTTCATGCTAGCACTGACAATGAACTGTCTTTATAACTTAAGCCTTTCAAAGTGAAAGAAATATACTGAAAAAGAGGAATACATTGAACAAGAGCTTTCATTTATGCCACATGAATACAGACTGAACTATACTCAAAATAAATGTATAAAATGCAATGGTAAAAACCATTCAAGTAACACATTATATTTTTTGATTTGTTGGAAATTTGGATTTAAGGAGAAAAATAAATATATTTGAATTTAAATAGAAATTTAAAACTGGCACAGAACAAACATTTTAAGTTTCTGAAATGAATAATATCAGGGCACAAATTTACAGAAGCAGTGTTTTTTTATGCAATGTGAAGGATGTGATGCTTTATTGTTTTAAAGAAAAAAAAGAATTATTTGGTATTTTGAAATTCCTTGTACAACAAAGACTAATGAGTTAAAAATTGAAAGAGGACAGTACACACATAACTGAGTCTGTGTTTATTTAGATCCACACTAATCTTCATAGCTGTTTAGTACGTCCAAACCTTTAGCCTTAATTTCAACTGCTACAAGTGTAAAGACCACCCTTGTTAGCTTCAGCATGAGAACAGGTCAATAAAAAATGAAATACATAACAGTAATACTGAGCACCAGTTAGCCAAATATATCTAGAGGATATGTTAATCATCACACTACATGAAACCCTTTCACAATGGAGACTTAAACATGAATTTGGGGCTTTACTTATGTATGATAAGGTAGACAACCCAAACACTCATCGGCATTCTCTTTCTTTTCTTCCTTTTAATTTGGCTGCAAAAGTCATGGATGAAAATCACAACATTTTTATAGTTTTCAGTTTCATCTACACACTGTAAAAATGTTAGTATCCTAAACCTTGCCACACTTATGAATAGTTGGCAATATTTCTTTAGAGTTTATCAAAAGGTGTCATTGGCAGGAGCACACGACCTAAGCTTTGGAAAGAGCCACCACAGTAAACCTCAGTTCTTCGGGGTCGCGTGCCATGAACTTCTTACACACCTCCACTGCATCCTAGAAACATGAGAAAGAGCTCACGCTGTAAGAAGCAGAAAGGTGCAACATTCATTTATCTAACACTCGAACATAAAGAGCATATGTGAATGCAAAGACCAAAATAGACAAAGATGTGAGTTTCCCCACCCCTAACAGTCCAGCCAGCACCTTGTTTATTTTTTTAAATCTTCACTATCTTGTAGTTACAGTACCTTGTAACACAGTTCCTAATTTATTTAAATACCTAGACTATGTGATTGCTGTTTGCACAATGTAAAGTATTGTGAAACAAAAATGGGATTTCAGAAACACTGAACTGACCCTAGTATCCGAGGACATGACTCTGGAAATTTTGCACACACATCCCTTCACCTGTTCAACTTGCTCCACTGGTGACATCTATGGAAATTCCACGCACACTCTCTTGTTTTTGATATGAACAAGAGACCGGAGTTCCTAACTGCCCAAACCTGTTGTGTCACGATAATGAAGCGGTTCAAACCCACTCAGCCCAAGCACAGCCCAGGGCAGGACACCTCGCCTGAGTCAACATCACAATGGAAATGATTCAGTAATCCAATGAGAGTAGTCTGGTATCACTAAGGTAAAGATTTGCATAAATGTTGACCATATAAATTATTGCTTAAAAATTTGTTTGTTTAATAACACAATTATAGTATTATTTTTCAATTCAATTTTTTGAATGGCCACAGTTGTAAGGAAGTTTGGTCCAAAACGCTATAGCAACAGCCAAAACACTATGCCATACCTGGTTCAAATGATTTTCATCACACGTCCTAACTCAAAGAACATACCTAGCACTGCTAGCACTGAACTCCCAAAGAAGCAATGTTAAGAAAGGAGATGTCTTGAGAGTCATCTCTGCAATTTCCCTCACTGTGTTAAACAAGCTCATCCTGAGATATTCTTTTGACTATAATACATTGATAAGGTTAAAGCAGAAAAAAGTGCACTAAATTAAGAAAAAACAATAACTGGACAGTACAATTAAATGAATTTTTATAGTAGGTTTAACCAAGATTTTTAGAATGGATAGAAAAACTATATCACTCCTGCCAATAACACCCCAAAACAGAAAGGGATTTTATGTTTTCCCTTAAACTAGAAGAAAAAAAACATGTAAATGATTCTACATTTGCCAATGATGAATACTGATTTCAAATTGAAATGCATGACGAATGAGGTACTGTGATCAGCCATTCTATTTTTCCTGCAAATGATTAGATTAAACGAATGGTTGACCAGTTACTGATGTGACTGAAAGAAGAACTCTAAATTAGTAAGATATTAACTACTTGGAGATAATTGAAGACTTCTGGGTGCTTAACCAAATGTTCACTATCGTGACAAATTTAAATCTGTTTTCTTTTCTTAGAAAAGAACACAAAAAATGGAAAATGGCACAGATCTATTAGGATACTTATTTAAGAGCCACTAAAAGACATGTAAGCATTTATTAGCTTTTTCTGGCAAAAATCAACATTTGTATTTTTCATTTCCAAAAATAGTTTTCAAAACTATCATATATATAACTTCATATTTTATTAAGACACTGGCTCTTTGACATGTTATTGCAAATGCATTATAAACATTAAAAAAAAAATTTAAAAGTTAAAAAATCATACTTTTTTTAGTGACTGTTTTCATTTATTATAATTTTCCAAAATGTACTTTAATTTCCTCTTTCCATCACACTAGACACACTGATCTGCGGTTGATTTACTCTGGGAAGTGAGAATGACTGAACGAGGAAAGGTTAAGCAGCAGGTCAGTACAGCAATATGACATCAGTATTTGGATTTACAGGTGTGTTATAATTTATGTTATTGTCTTTCCCTTTAAGGAAAAACTTGTATCCCCATCCCGGTTCAAAATTTTACAGGGGTTAAGTAGAGTCACAATGCCCCACATACAGCAAGCAATCTACATTGTAAATTACCTAAACAAAAAAAAGCTTTGTATACTTTTCTATTAACCAAATCTAGTACCAATTAATTTGCATGCTGAATTCTGAGAATTTATGAGTGACAATGAAAGGAAAGAGTATTCATTACCTCTAGAAAAGAGTCTTCCGTAGTTTTTCCATGAACAATTGGGAAAGGCTTGCGACCATCTGTCAGAAAATAAATGAAACAGCTACATTCCCCATGTCTATAAGGATTATTATTATTCCATTCAAAGTTTCTGATGAAGTCAGTTAAACAGTAACATCTACAGTATTTATTTTATATCAGTGTGTATTATTTTAAGAGAATAACGATTTAGTAAGCACTCCAGAAGAAGAATCACTCTGTTTAAAATAATGTTACCACTGAAGGCTTATAAAATGAAAGGTAATGGGTACAACACAATAAGAAATTCTTGTCTAATGACTTGTGCCTAATATGACATAAAGCAGACTGTTTTCTCCATCCTGCAGTCTTGTCTTGGCAACTTGGCAGCATTTGGTGTTTGGCCAGCAGCCAAGTCACCCTGCAACTTACAATTGGCAGCCCACTGAAGCTAAGCAGGTGTGAGCTGGAAAAGGTGTAAGTGAGGCCAGCAGGGGGCGCTCACTCTGCGGTCCATGTGGGTCCTAATGCCCCAGTATAGTGATGGGGACACTATACTGTAAACAAGTGATGTCCTGACTCTCTTTGGTCATTAAAAATCCCAGGGTGTTTCTCGAAAAGAGTAGTGGTGTAACCCCTGCGTCCTGGCCAAATTTCCTATGCCTCCTAATAATCCCCCTCTATGAATTGGCTAAATTACTTTGATCTCCTCCCCCCCACCCCAATTCCAAACATCAAATGCTGCCCTGAGAGAGGGCAGCATTTGGTTTTTGGAATAGGTGCCCATGTCAACGCTTGTTTGGAAATTTGGCACTTGTCCATTCTCAAAGTGCGACCAAACCCCATCAGTCTTCGTTTCTGCTGGTTTGTTATTTGGTATGCAGTGTTGTCATTGGCCTTGTCTTGTTAACGTTATATGTAAGGTAATGTAAAGACAGCAGAAGTCAAAGCCAACCGGTTCAGCAAGCTATGTCTCTTTTACGGCCCAGGTCTCCGTCTCATACAGCAAAACCCGTTTAACCATGCTGCTGTACAGATGCGTGTTGATCTCCACGCATTTAAAAGGGAGTGACAATGTAGCAGAAGACACAAAGAAATCAAACAGATGGGAGGACATTTTTACAAAAATGCTAATCTGGCTCCAGCTACATTCACCACCTACCAACCCGCATTTCTTTTTTGAAACGCACTCCAGTCATACTAACATCAAACCTCACATGACAGCTGAAATCAGAAAAGGAATCAAGGGCTAAGGAACTGAAAGGTAATGGACGTCAAAAATGTGCACAAAACTGCTGAAGGCCGTGAGAGCTACTGTGCATAACAATGCCAGATGAACAGAACCTGTCCAAAAGCGGCAGAAAAAAGGAGAAAATTAAACTTGCCTAAGAAAGGAGATCTATATGACTACATCTTCACTCGGATAGATCCTGGAAAAAGTGCTAAAAGCTCAAGGTGCTCTTGAAAGCTGAAACAGAGAGCGCTAGTTTTTTACAGTCATCAGAGGCCTATACGAGGAAAGCAAATGCTATATTAGAGTGGACAACAACAGCCTACCTCCCTAACACCCTCTTTCCCAGGACCATTAATGACAACTTCCCCATCTTATAGCTCTCCCACTGGAACCCTCTTTCTTGAACACCCCTTCATCTCACATCATGGACCACCTAATCTGGACAACCTTCTTGTTCACAGCTGACTTAACCGTCCTCACCAATCATCCAAATATATCCAAAACCACACCTTTTCAAGGCCCTTCTGGATAATTCCAAATTACTCAGATGACATCTTATACCATCAGCTACCTTATTTACTGCATTTATTGCTGAAAATTCTGAGCTATTTACACTGGAAGGAGACTGGGAGATCTCTCCAAACCAATAGCTCCCCACTTTACCTCTAACAGCCACAATCTTTTTGTTCTCTCCATATGTGTCCCCATGTAGTGGTTTCAGTCATGATTTCTTGAAGATCCCTTGCAACCTTGACAGATTTCCAAATCAAAGAAAACCCAGGAAATGAGAATTCTATTTGTTGTTGTTTTTTTTAAGAGACTCCGAGATCTACAGAAGTCTTACATAAACGTAATAGCACAAAGGTTATCAAACCTGGGGCGGTGTGGTGGCTATAGGGCAGTGCGGTGGCTCTGTGGCTAAGGTTCTGTGCCTGAAAGGTTGCCCATTCAAATCCCGCGGCTGGCAGAGGAATCCTACTCCGTTGGGCTCCTGAGCAAGGCCCTTAACCCCAACTGCTCCAGGAGCACCGTATAAATGGCTGACCCTGCGCTCTGACCCCAAGCTTCTCTCTCCTTGTCTGTGTGCCTGTGTGTCTCATGGAGAGCAAGTTGGGGTATGTAAAGAGAAATTCCTAATGCAAGAATTTGTATATGGCAAATAAAGTGATCTGACCTTATCTTTTATTGCAGAAAGACATCTGAAACCAAAACTATCCTTAAACTTGGACCACACCTTCCCCCTTCTCTTAACAAGAGACTCATCTTCTTCTGAATCCTATCTATTCAGCTGCAGATTTCAGCTTTCACACATCTCCTCCTGCTCTCCCTGAGTTTGGACACTCATTCTCACCTGCTTCATGCCCCTTTCCCCACTGCTCCCCACCCCTTCTTACCTACCCTGTCTTTTGTTCTCCTGTGCCTTATTTATCTGCTACTTTCCATCTCTTCCTCACACCTGAAGAAGGCTCCACAGACGAAATGTGTTTCTTTTCCTTAACTTTCAATATGAATGAATCTTTACCTGTTCCTCTGCAGGCTACGCATGCTGTTGCCACCACCTACTTGAACTGCAAAACTGCTAAAAGGTGATAACAGGAGTCTCCCCCTCTACTGTTTGACAAAGCTAAAGAAAATAACCCTGGAATCACATTGGTCAGCAGTCAGCTCAAATAGAAGACAGACTTCAATCAAGACATTTAGCACTGCTCTCCAGCTCAGCCATAGGTTTGTAGAAAAAGACAATGATTTTCTGAACAGTGAACGAATAGGCCTTGTTATATCAGGAAAAAAAACAAAATCATGACCATCGATATAATAAAATCCACAAATACAACCATGTGGCCACGATATTGAGATCGCACCCAACTTCATCCTTTGGTTGTCTTTTCATGGAAGTCAAAAATCAAAGTGTGAATTTGCAAATCTGCAGCAACATTGAACAGACCACACAAAATATGAGACAACAGAAGGATATCAACAAATAAGAAATTAGCAAAATAAAACTGGTATATGAACACCTAAAGTGACAAAAACAACATGCAATCAACTCAACCCAACCTCCAGATTCCACATATACTTGTGACCTGCTCTCCAAAAACAAGACTCTTAGTGATCTTTTTTTTTAATTTAAAATGCAGTTTCAAAAGAGCTAAAGACAACAATTCTGTATGTACAGTACACAGTTTAAAGATACAGTGGTACATAGTGGGGATATTTTCAAGACTGCTGCAACAATAAAAAATGTAAACTTGTGTATCAGCCACAGAAACCTGTGATGTTAGTGTACGGTGTTTTCCTAGAATTTGCGGCGTGCCTGAGTAAACATGTTAAAACAAACCTAATTAAGAAGATTATGAATTATAAGGTGGCGCAGTGGCAGAGCGGTGAGTGCCTCAGAACTCTTGGGTTTGATTCTGACCTGTGACACCTTCTGTGGGGAATCTGCATGTTCTCCCTGATCCACATACTGCAGGGTGCTTCATATTGCTTCCAAAGACAAGCTGACCTGATTGACCTGATTAGTGTCTCTGCACTGTTCTCGAGTGCTTGCTTATGCATTTCTTGCAGTGCATGTGCCTGCCAGTGACCTCGATAGCCACAGCAGCCGAGTAACCTTCCAAGGAATAAACTACTTTCTTATAGCAGATGTAGATAAACTCTAAATTCCTGAGTTTTTAAATGCGTACAAAAAATGATTGTCGTTACTGGACTTACCTAACTCATACAATTGTCCTCCAACGCTCACAAATGCAATGAAATGCAGATCCACTTTTTCATCTATACTTGGTGCCTATTTACAGGGAAAAAAAAATTCAAAGCATATTTAAAAAATTAACACCTTTATATGCCAAAGTCACTAAAATTCCATAAAACTTAATCAATACATTGGGTACAGAACTTGTTTTTTAACCATCACCATCTATAATGGAAGACACCAGTTAATGAATATTTTAAAAGCACTAATCTTTCACAAACTATGCTAATATCTTTTTATTATCTCTCTATAAATGTTAATTTTGGGATTTCTATTCCACTGAGCACTTTACTCAATCCATAAAACCTTGTGTTATATGATGTGTATTTTTTCTATTTAATTCGAGTTATGAATAAATCTGGAGAGCACTGTATGCATTTCCAATGGAAGAGCACAAGTTCACCTCAACATTAAGAGTAACCTCAATATTCTCTACAAACTAATCTTGACCAAGTGATCTGTGCTTCCCAAGATTTATCACAATATTTTAAAAACATTCGAAACCTCTTATTAATGTACAATAAGTATCCAAATGTGTATACATACATGTATGGTTTCTTGTCCTGGAGAGTATGTAACAGAGCATAGAACAATTAAGAGATGAAATAATGGGCAAGCTATACAAGAGATTTAAAACTGCCTTTACATTCCCATTTCAATGATACTGGTTTAAAGCCAGTGAAATGACCTAAATGACTATGTTCCAAAGTCAGATCTCCAGCAGTCCTGTTTAGTATAGTTATTGTACTTCTGTTTGAAAATTCTCTCTATGAAACAACCTCCTTACCATCTCAGATCACAAAACTTACATCTAAACAAAACCCACATAACTACAAAAATCTGCTAACCCTACATAAGGATTTCCAAGGACCTTTCAACCAGGAAATATTTTTATAGTGGCATTTACAATTAAAACCAACTTTTACCAAGATTTTTATCTTTATGCCAAGCATTAGGAAGTAGACTCTAATATCAGATGATTTACATTGAATTTCAGTAACAACAAGATGTACTTTCTGGAGGGAAATAAGCAAAACATTGAAAACAAAGGATTCTGTAAAACAATGTAAAAACAATATACTGTATGGTTTTCAGACTCCAACATACAGATGTATTTCTTTGACAATGTAAATAAGGTAATGCTGTAACCAATGCTGTGTTTATTTTCAAAGTGTCTTTGAAGGTTGATGGTTTAGACAATACAATTACAGACAGAAGAAAACAGTGGAAGCAAATAATGTTAGTATCCTGAGAGTATTTTGTGTGGCTAGATATCTTTAATATGGTTTAAATGACTACTTTAAAAGAATCAATAAGGGAAAAAAATAATAAAAAGTATACTCACCTCTGTCTGACCTTCTTGTGCACTCGATTCATGTGTTACACGGATACTCTAAAACAGCACAACAGCAAAATATGTTTTATGTATGAAACCAGGCTGCTTGCTCTTACTGGAATACATGCTACAACTTCAAATGATGCACACAAAAAGGCAAGTACTGATCTCCAACACGGGTTAAAGACAAAGCACCCAACTAGACTGTGAGAAGAGAAGCAGCATGTTGTTTCCATCTGAAACTAGGTCACCATATTTATAGTTCAGATACCATTCAAACAGTATTCTATTAACTCCAACTGAAGACATTCATTAACATCAGGACAAAATCAACATCCTATGAGCTAAATGTTGTTTCAGTTATGAATTTCTTAAATCAGGGCTTGGAATGCGTCAGCAATGTTCAGGTATTCCAGCTTGCTCTGAAACCCCTTGGTGAGAACAGAGGACGAGGATTAGTGCTCTGAGGCACATGTGGAAGCCCTCGGCACACTCTTACTCTCTTGCTTACACTATTCAGTCTCCCAGGCAACAGGCCCAGTCCTTTGGGCAGCCTGACATGTTCATCCCAGGTGGAATCCCAACCACAGTCACTGAGCCACAAACCTGAATCTGCAGGCTCTAGTGGTGGGATCTGTGCACTATGAGGTGTCGCAAAATTACAAAAGGTAGAACTGAACAACGTTCAACGAACAAATGTTCTGAATACTCTTCAATCCAGATTAATATTCCTCTGTAAATTACAAAACAACATTTTGCTCAACATTTCCTTTTCAGTATAGAAACTGCCAGGTCTGTTTTAAACATAATGTATCTTGTGTTAGGACATGCTGACTCTCAGGTACATACATTTCAATTTAAAAAAATAAACTAAAATTCAATACAATTTTTAATGTTAGTCATTTTGTATTGTTTCTTACCTCATCTTTTTCCAGGAAAATTGCCTTTTCTTCTGGGCTTAAGGATCTAGATTCAATGAGAAACTTTTTCAATGCCGAATCTGGTTCTGGAAATAAATGAAAAAAAATCAAATATAAAATGTAAAACAAAATTAAGTTTCATTTCAAATCCAGACAGGTCATGCCTTAGACAGACCACACAGGTACACAGAAATCATACTTATATCTCACCCCCAATGTTTCATATTAACTTCAGTTTCAGCACGCTGACAGATATGTCTGTCTTGGAAATATTTAGTCTTGTACTTTGATGTATGTACAAAGCAAAAGAAAGAGTATATTTAAACGTAGCAGCAACACAGCACAACTATGGAATGTGTGCAAAACACTAAAAATGATCTTGTTCTAAATTTGAATTCTCCAGAACCTTGTGACGGCCTGCTGTCTAATCCAGGGATAGAGACGTTATGTGCAGCTCATAGAAACAAGAAAATAAGAATGGCTACAGATGAGAGTTGGTTGGCTGGTTCCATCTAGTCTGCTTGGTTCTGTGGTTCTCTGTTTAAGTCCTGTAGTAATATACTGCTTTCACAAACAAAACAATGTTCAGGATTTAAAAAAAGAAATGCACTGGGTGACTTTCACATTGACAAGACAGCAAAATATAAAGGTTTTAGTAGACTCAAAATATTATTTTGTATTTGTACATTTTCCTAACAAAAGTTTAATGAATCTACTTTTAAACATTTATGGCGAGCATTATCAAAATGTAAAAAAAAAAATATCTTGTCCATGTTTTCTTCCTCTTAAAGTGCAAGTTGCAAATAAAATAGAAAGTGTACATTTAAAAATGACATTTATTCAAGAAAAGGATTGAACTTTTATTAAAACAGAGATAGCAATAAATCCATTTATAACCCATCTTAGGCTGTGAAACTTGTTTTGTCAAACATAACCACTCTTCTTATTGAAGTATAATTCTTTTTTGATTTCTTGTGTTGTAATCTTTCAGTTCCTTTATTAAATATCTGTAAGAAACAAAGTGTAAGAGTGCCATCTACTGCACAATGCATAACAATATTGAAGAAAAAAACAAAGTACTCTGACCAAAAATGCTTACCAAATTCCAGTCTGTCTTGGTTGTTTGCCACTGCATGAATAAGGCCTATTGTTCCACATGCGTTTCCTATTGTTTGTTTCATGAAATAAACCTCTGAACTAACTTCTTGTCCCTGTGATTTGATTTTTGCCTCCTCTTCCAGTCTATAGGATTCATACTGGGAAGAAATAGAAGAAACAAAAACAATAAAGGCATTTAACGCAGAGTGTTACAGCATGTTATTTCTGGACAAGAGCTGAATCAGAGTACAAAAACAACCCTATTACTTTGATTTATTATTAGATTTACAAAAGTATTTTGTTTGTACAGCTTACGATAATGGACAGTACCATCACAAGATATACGAACAGAAGTCCAGCTTAATACCACAGAAATGTAACCCGAGGGACTGCAGGACATGTGTGCACTAGACTTGCAATTTCCTTGATGGTAGCTGTTACTGCCACTTAATTATTTTGCTACTTGCATACAAAATTAGAGTATTCCTTAATATCACTTTAAAAGGTTGAAACTTCAGCTAAGCCCTGAGACTGTTGCTAGGGAGGAACTTAACTATGGAAAAAAAGATGGATATTCAAAACGTAACAGTGTGAAGCAAGCTGTGACTCCTGGGATACGGCCTCTTCTAATCAAAAAAAGGCTTCACTTTCATGCTGCTCCCAAGAAATGTGAAAGAATAAAGCCTGTTTCTGCCTCATAATCCAACTGTTTTTTTTTATGTTTGAACAGTGGTCTCTCTTTTGGTCCCGGTTTAGTGTTCGGCTTTCTGTTTTGGTGTGGACAACGTACTTGTAATTTAGATCAAATCTAAATGAAATGATAGGTTACCTTTTCTGTCACTGGGAAGAGAAGTAAGACCGCACACACAGGCCTTGGTACCATACTCAGGAGCTCAGGGTCCAGACCGTACACATCTCCAAACTGCCAAGTCGGCAGCAAACCCAGCTGCTTCAGAAACTAATGCAGAAAAACAAGCCTCTGGTTATTGCAGGCATAAAACAGACAATTATTGCTTGGGTACCAAATTCCTTGTTTTTTTGCATAGTAAATATATAAAAGCATAACAAGAACAATTATTTAAGTTCTTGTAAAACAGAAGGAAATAACATCTGGGAAGGTCCTTGACATATAAAAGTTTTTTATTATTATTTTAAATAAATTTAGATGTGCTCTTTCTGGTCAGTATGGCTATTTACTATATCAGTGTTTTACATTTACTGATTCTTTTTCTCCCAGTTTACTGTAAATAAAGTTCTGTTGAATCATCATCATAATCATAACAAACAGTTCACATACAAAACCAGGAAATATACTATTGAAAACGTAAGTAACATTTCCTAGCCTGAATAAGTGAAAGTGGATTTTAGCTACTGTATGTTTACAGTTTGGGGTTCCATCATGAATGAGCAATTTTAGACGATGACAACTGTGCAAAATTAGCAATGTAACGTTTAGAATCACCAGTAACCATGCTTTTAAGCACAAGTGTATTAGAGCTGCCAGACTCTGAGGCAGGATTGGAATTGTTTCAAAACTGCTTTCCAATAAAAAAAAGAGAAAAATACGAATGTCTTTGAAATGATGCGTATTCCTAGTCCAAAGAGCACTTCAGAACGTTATGCAAAAATGCATCTCATTTAATAAATCGTACTGTCTCCTGTTTCATCATACTCCCTTTATAACATTTAACTATTTCAATCCAGCTGTGGGGCTCAGCGCTGATTTTCACAATCTACTGACTCACTTGATTCATGACCTGTAAAACAACGAAAAAGAGAAGAAGCGGTTTGCCATTGTTCAAGTTGAGCGCAGATGATAAAATAACGCAATCACACCGGGCACGCTAGAATGAATGAGCATGTGGATTTTAAAAGCGCAGGATAGCAGATACGTACATCGGGGTTTGCTTCCAGAGGCAGCCAGCGCTGGCACTCCATGTTTGCAACGGACTGGTCGGATTCTGTCCTGTGGATTTTTTAAAACTAGACGTTTAAAGTTCCTAAGCGCTTCGCCACTTCAGCCTGACAGATGAGACGAGCTTCCGCCTTGTACTTTCGCCGCCCACAGAGGGGTGCAGGCTGGGAGCGGTATGAGCTAAAACTGGACTCCAAACAATTCCACCAGACAACATGGAGCACTTTCAGTATAAACCTAGATATTAAAGCACATGTGTACAGGCGGTGTTGTCTTCATGGTTGTATCTTGCAGCGCTTGCTCTGGAAGCTCAGTGAAACACCCCTGAGACGCAGGTGGACGGTGCCGTGTCAGAGGGTAGGGGTGAGACCGCCGGAGGCAGTGAGTCAGCCCGATTGAAGCGCGGATGCGCGGCGCCGGCGCTAGGGGGCGTCTTTCTACAGCTGGAGCACTGGGACCGTCTCTCTCTCCCCTCGGAGTCGTGAGCGATCCGTGCTTTCCCCGCAATCCGTTCAATTTCTACATTGTATTTCTAGTTCTGTTTCGAATGTAACATTTGCTGACTCATACAACCTTATTGATAGAGACACTTGTAAACCTGACAGCTTTTGTGGGCGGTGATACTACTACTACTACTACTAATAATAATAATAATAATAATAATTGCTTACACGTATATAGCGCTTTTCTGGACAGTCCACTCAAAGCGCTTTACAGGTAATGGGGACTCCCCTCCACCACCAGTGTGCAGCCCCACCTGGATGATGCGACGGCAGCCATAGTGCGGCAGAACGCTCACCCCACATCAGCTATCAGTGCGGAGGAGAGCAGAGTAATGTAGCCAATTCATAGATAGGGATTATACGGAGGCCATGATTGGTAAGGGCCAATGGGAACTTTGGCCAGGATGCCGGGGTTACACCCCTACTCTTTTCGAGAAACGCCCTGGGATTTTTAATGACCACAGAGAGTCAGGACCTCGGTTTTACGTCTCACCTGAAGGACGGCGCCTGTTCACAGTATAGTGTCCCCATCACTATACTGGGGCATTAGTATAGTATAGTACTTCAGTATAGATTATATGTAGTTGTTTTTATATATACTTTAATAATAAATTGTGCTCGAAAGCAATTGTGAACCAGAAGCTCCACAGGCACGGAAATGATTTCTGGGAGATTAGGCTAGCAGCCATATCGCCCTGCAATTCACAACTGGCACCCACTGAAGCTAAGCAGGTGTGAGCCTGGTCAGTACCTGGATGGGAAACCTCCTGGGAAAAACTAAGGTTGCTGCTGGAAGAGGTGTTAGTGGGGCCAGCAGGGGGCGCTCACCCTGCGGTCCATGTGGGTCCTAATGCCCCAGTATAGTGACGGGGCATTAGGTAAACAGGTGCAGTCCTTTGGATGAGATGTAAAACTGAGGTCCTGACTCTCTGTGGTCATTAAAAATCCCAGGGTGCTTCTCAAAAAGAGTAGGGGTGTAACCCTGGTGTCCTGTCCAAATTTCCAATTGGCCCTTACCAATCATGGCCTCCTAATAATCCCCCTCTATGAATTGGCTACATTACTCTGCTCTCCTCCCCCGATATCTGGTGTGTGGGGAGCGTTCTGGCGCACTATGGCTGCTGTCACATCATCCAGGTGGATGCACATTGGTGGTGGTGGAGGGGAGTCCTCATTACCTGTAAAGCGCTTTGAGTGTAAGCAATTATTATTATTTTTTTCGAGATTACTTTGAAAGCCAGAAGTGGGATTTAGCCAGATCAGCGCCATGAAATCATCAATAACTTATTTTATTCAAAACTTTTTATTGAAATGCATAAAGGAAGTGGACGCATTTCGCATTGTACAATCCCATGTATTATGTTCGGCTCATAACAGTGTTTATGAAAATACTATGTGCACAACGTGTGATAATACATCAGTACAACAGAGAAAATTTCACATCTATGACATTGCAAATGTTTCCGCTGTCGCTGTGAATTAGATTTGTTTTTTGTTTTTTTTACATTTTAACATTACCATAGTATATTTTACTTAAAAAATTAGTCACAGTAGCTGCGGTACTCGGGCATTATGCATGCGTTCAAAATCCGCGCGCGGTGACAACAGGACAATACTGCCCCCGCAGCGCGAGCTGCACAAGGTGGTGCTCCAGCTCGCGCAGTGGGGTGCTCGCCAGCCAATCGCGCTCGAGGTGACAGACGTCATCCTCACCCGGAAACTGTAGCTGAAGATCAGATCAGAGATGTTTGAAGTGGGCCTGGCTTGTGGTCAGTATAAACTATCCCTATAGCATAACCACTTTGTACTTTGATGTTTTATACATTTAATGACAGTAATCCACAAAAGGAAAGACAGGGGGTCTGTGTAATATTACAATTAAACTGGGGTGCATATTTGTTACCGACAGTTAATATTTTAGATACTTGCATGTCACATGAAGTTTATCTTCTAGATACGCACTTCTTTTTTTGTGGTTTCGCCTACTCTTAAATGTTGATTATCTAACGTTATTTTTTATCGAGCGAGCCAAGCTCTGTTGTTAAGCAGCATTTGCATAGCCTTATTTTCATAAGGTTGACTTAAAGACATAGCCTTTCTCTCATAAGCATGATCAGCTGTCTGAGACAACAAAACGGAAATGTCAGTGTCACTGGGAGGTTGTAACGAGGACAGACTATACTTTTTCTCTGTGGGTCGATAATCTTAGTCAATCTTGTGATAATTAATCAGTGTGTATTAGACAGAGATTGAATCCTTAATTTACGATGATTGACAAGGTTAATTTAGGTGAAGATGTACATTTTTGGAACTGAAATTTAAAGTATTGGATTTTTTTCAGATTTTGAGGAGACTGTTGAAAGAATTGGAAAGCTACCTCCAGACTTGTTTGCAGAAATAGTAAGCACTCCTTCCCAAATAATCTGAATCTCTCTCTCCATTGCACTTGTAACATTGTTGTCTTTCAGATTTACAAATGAATAAGACTAGGATAATCTGATTACAAATGTGACATTTTCACATATTGTTGATAGTGTCCATCAAATTAATTATCAGATTATGTACAATACTTTTTTTTCCATTTACAACAAAAGTCATAAGATAATAGACATCGCTGATTAATGTAGTGAAAATTCTTATGGATAGTGATTGACGTAGACTATGGTCAAAGGAGCCTGTAGCCTCCTACCAGTTTTCTACACTTAGATTAATTGGCACCACTGTGTCATTTTAACATAATGGAAATATGGTAATTTTCAAGTAAAAATATCAGTTCTGGCCAGTACCAGTACCAGTACCAGTCGTTGGTTTTATAAGTTAGGGTTACAGATGGGCTATAATCAGGATTGTTCTAGTCAGAAAGAAGGAATGACACAAAAATAGTAATTAACCAGCTGTAGTTATTTATAAAAGTGTTTTGGAACCACAAGTCTATTTTCAATTTTAATAATATGTAAATATTACTTTCATTTTTCAAATTGTGAAATGTGAACCACAGTTTGCACAGGAATCATTCAGTGAGTTAGGTTTTAAAATATGTATACTTTACAATTTAAAGGTTTTATTACTTAAAAACATTACATTATATTTGTACTAGCCAAGACTACAATAGCAAAGTAAATATATCTTGAAAAGTGCTGCAAAGAAAATGTATTGAATTTTTTTAATCCGTAGCTACTGTATATACATTGTATACCTTTTAGGTTCCTAGCTGTTGGTAACCTGCATTTCTTTCTTAATTTTGATCGCAAATGGTAAAAAAAACAAACAAAAACTATAAGACAGAAAATAGTTTCTCCTGTCAGCAGACATGGAATTTTGCAACTTTCTACATTTCTAATTAATCTATGTAAATTTGAACAAACTGTGTTCCACACCAATGTGATTGGAAATGTGTTAAAAAGTAATTTGACTAGAATTATTCCTTATTCTCATCACTTTAATAAAAAATAAATTCAAGTTGAATTAGCTGTTTGGGGTGTGACCAAATTCATGATAACAATCAGTTACTAGAAGCACTTATTATAAATTTTTTACCAAAGTCTGAAGCCCCTTCTTTTACATGAGCAAACCTCAGGAGTGTATTACACATCTCAGTTTTGTGTGTTTATTTAATTGATCCATTTAGAATCTCAGGTTCTATTGCAGTGTTTTTCGGAAACTAATATGATGTTCACATTTCCAGTTCAGTTAAAAATAGTTTATTCATCCCCAAGGCAGCATTTTCAATTCAATTAAATTTATTTTCTTTCTTAGAGAAAGTTGAAATTCTTGTGTAGAGCAGTGATGGTGGTATTTACTGATGTCACAAAAAAATCCACTTAATGTGCGCAGATATGAGAAAGGATAAGGAGCAACTTGAATGAATGCAGTTGAACTACCAATTCACTACAGCAGATGGAAGATCTATCCAACTTAAAATGGATGAATTCATTCAAAATAAAGTTTCAGTTTATATGCGGAAAGCCTAACCAAAAGAATGAAAATTAAACGACATCAATTTTTGGGTCAATATTGATTGTATTGAATTTTTCATGTTAAATTTGTACACCACAATGATGTAATGTAAGGTGTTGATACAGATTGGATGTTTAACTAAAAAATGAGAATGTTAGAAGTTTGATGACACATTTAATGGGTGTTTAATGTGAGTAATAGAACTTGTTAGTAAACTGTTAATGAATTTGTAAATGTCATTGAATAATCATGGACGTTTGTTAAATGTATTTGTTAGGATGAATTCAGAAATATTAGAAGCCTTTTTTAATTTAAATAAATCTTAACATAGTACCTTCATTTTGGAGGTCAGTTATATAGTATTAAATTAACTAACTCACATTAGCTGAACTATTATTTGTTTGCTGGATGTACATATGTTTATTGCAGCCTGAGTTAATGTACTGTTTATATTATATTTTGAGAGCTTGATTTGCAGCTTGTGTTTTGTGGAAATAGTTTGTTTTTTGCTGCTTTACAGTGTCCACCACTATGCAGATGTTGCCACAAAAGCACAGCAAAAGGTCCATAAAGCTGTTGATTGACTTTAATGTTGAACTGCGTGGTGAATGATGGAATTTGCAATCCGGGTAACCTGTGTAATCTTTTCAGTGTCAGAAGGCTGTTACACACCTGCAAGGGCAGAGCCCAGCTGTGGACACAGGTGACCTTTGTGAAGTGAGTCTGCACTTTGTTCTGCTTCACACCTTTTCATAGTGACCTCATTGCCAGTAAGAATTCAGTGTCCATAATGGTAACTTCTGTTTTTCATTTTCATATTTTAAAACAGAGGCTTCAGAAAGCTGGAGTGAAATTAGACTTGGAGGCTCTCCAGAAAATAATTCATATGGTCTTATTCATTTTCAGGTATTCTTGTATATTTTTTAATCTAATGTACAGTATGATAAACCTCAGCAGATCTTTTATCACTTGTATGGCATGTACTACTCACAATTTGCCAAGTACATTCTGGTAATGATTGTATAAAAAAACAGATTATTTACATTACTTATGGGCATATTACAGTTGTTGTGGTTAATCTAATTTATACATTATCAAATCATTGTTGGGCACAGTAGAAAAGGCTGTGACGTTGTACAAGGCCCCCTGACACCCAGTCTTTCAGATATCAGAAGCTAAACAAGAGGGCTGGTCAGGGGTTGGAGACAAGGAAAACTAGGTTGCTGTAGTGAATTGTGATGCTGGCCCAGTAGGTGGCTCTCTTCCCTCTGGACAGAATTTTCAAATCAGTGTCCCAGTGCAGGCAGTTCCTGTTACAAGTTGCCCAGCTATACATCATTTTGTAATGATGGCATTGATAAATTGAACACAACATAAAAAAGCCCACACTTAAATGTTGTTTTTCAAGGTTCCAAAAGCCAACAATGTAGGCGGTTCATGGATTATTTTGTTCCAAAATTAAAAAAAAAAATTGTGAAGAGCAAAATCAAACATTACAAATTCTTCTTCTTGTACACAGTGCTGTTTTTATGATCAAAATATACTTTATTTCCAAAGCAACATTTCACAGGACAATGCTGTTACACTTGACTTAGATTATGAGTCATTGTGCTCCAACATTTAGGTTAAGTCTTACTACCATGCAGTGCTGTACATCACTGATCCAACCAGTGGGTCAGGGTGTGATATAGCTAACGTTCGTTAGGTTATCACTAACCCTGTTCATAATGCATGAACAGTGTGTGGGGAAAAAATGTAAACTGAAACAGCGAATGACTTTGATGGTTTCGTCAACACCACAGATCAAAAGGGACTGGTGACTGTATCTCTATTGTTTTTTTATGGATTATAGGTAAATTAAATGTACATACCTGTATCTGAAATGGATATGTAAGCTGATTAATAATTATTCTGCTATTAATTGCACAGTTGTATTATTTAGGAATGGAACCTGGACTTACAGTGGAACATTCTTCCTTTGTTTAGCTACAAGTAAAACACCCTCTATTTAATTTATGGTCCCTCACCTCACTTTATCCCATTAATTCTTATGGGAAAATATTCTCAATTTAAAGCACATGGAAAATGTTTAAGCACTTCTTATGGGGAGAAGCTCTCCTTCTTATATTTTTGCTATACGTTGTGACTTTCTGGTTCCTACTGTATGTCTGATACATATTAAGGACTGCCTGTATAGTGACAGGTGACACTGCTGTAAGAGGTGCCAATCTTAAGAAGAGCTGTTAGATGGTGGTCCCGAATTAGCTGTTCATTAAAAATCACATGACACTCTTTGTGCTAGTAGGGGTGTTGACACTCATATCCTGGCTAAATTGCATAATCTAGTTTCCTCCATAATTGAAATGGTTGAGAAATGTTCTACTTATCCCCCCGATTTATGGGGCTGCTGGTTAATAATGTCCACCACACATCACCCAGACAGGTGCAGATTAATTTCTGCCTTGATTTGCATTGCTTGTTACTGCAGAGGCAGATCCTCACTGTTTTATTTGTGTAACTTTTTAACAACACAACTTTTCATGTAGCTCCATATAGAATGGACTTTGAGATCTTTTGGTATATGAGGTGCTAAAGAAATACAAGGAATTATTATTAACTAAAGTTAATTTGACTTTTTGGGAAGAAACATTGTGATTATTTTATTTGTTTTTATAAATTCTTACCTCAGTTAATAGAAAGGAAACCTGCGTAGCAATTTTATCAAAACAGGTAAAATTCCATCAAAACTACAATGACTGTAGCATGGAAATCTAGCCCTGTATGTTTCTGTTCAGTTAGACCCAGTTTATCGTACTGCTGTTACATGAGACTGATTTCACTGAGTGCTCGTAACAGATTGCTTGGAGGTGGGTGAGCAAAAGCAACAGCAATGAGACAACATTGCAGCAGAGGGTGGGCAAAGAAATGTCAAATTATGTTCAGATTCAGCATGGGCATGCAAAGCTTGATAATACACTATTTGTGCTTTTTTTACTGTTAATACCATTCTTTTCTTCATTTACACACTGGCATTATATTATTTCAAGATGGAATTAAACTAGAGGACTTCTCCTCCAGCACTCACATTCACATATATTGCTGAAAATGAACAATAAAAAGTGACGTTGAAATTTAAAGCTTTTTTTTTTGCTTTTGGTTCTTCTACTCCAGAACAGCAGGAAAAAACAATTTGTCTTCTGAAGAGCTCATCGTGAAGTTGAGTGAAAGAAGCAGCAGATGGTCCAAACAAGCTCTTCAGCTTATTCACAAGCTGTGGAATGAACAGGGAAAATTTGTCTTGGCCAATCAAAATGCAAAAGCCATGATAAACATTGGACAGGTAAATGCCTTTTGCTCCTGAACTCCCAAAATAAGGACAAATATGGTGTAATAATGCGGGAGTGGGAGGAGCCGCGGCGAACACTGGTAAGACGCCCGTGAGGAAATAACACACAGGGGGGAAGCAAAAGTAAAAGGCACCACTGTGCACTGCTGCATCCAGGCTGGATTGACTCTATCTGGTGGGGTCCAGCCTGGGAAAAAGGACCGCTTGGCACAGCAGTATCCAGACTGGGCTGACCCGATTTACTGCACGGCGGGACGGGCAAAAAGAGAAAAAAGAAAATGAAGGAAAAATGCGGCCTTGCGCTCGGTCACAGCTGTCGCTGGGAGGTCGTCCCCTTGCGGGGGTCTGCTCACCTTTCCGGGGGGGTGCTCGGTGTGTCTTAAAGGGCCCCACAGCTGCAGCTCACCCTTAATCAGCCAAGGCAGCTGTGGTTGCTAAGGCCTCCGCACTGAAAGCCCTGCATAATGCCACAATGGGGATAGGCGGCACGGGGGTGCAGTGGTTATCATTGCTGCCTCGCAGTGCTGGGGACCTGGGTTCAGTTCCTGGGGTTCTGCATGTTTGGTGCTTGTGTGCTCTCCCTGTCTTCGCGTGGGTTTCCTCCTCGTGCCCTGGTTCCCTCCCTCAGAAACCCACAGCCCAAAGAAACTGTGGTAGGTTAATTGTCTTTTGGCATAACTGTTCCTGATGTGAGTGCTTGCCTGTGTGTCTGCCCTGCCATGGACTAGCATCCCACCCAGGGTGTATCCCACCTTCCGCCCTTTGGTTCTGGGATGGGCTCTGGCTTCCCCTTGACTGGGGTGATAAAATATTCCATCCAATTCAGGGTCTCAGGAGAGCTGGAGCCTGTCCCGGCAAGCAACAGGTGCACAGCAGAGTACACCCTGGATGGGAGGCCAGCCCATCGCAGTGCAGACATACACACTCTCACACTCTCAGCAAGGCCAATTTCCCCACAAACCAAATTAATCTACCAGTATGGCTAGAGTCTGGGAGGAAACCAGAGCGCAATAAAATATTACTGTATGAGAGGAATAATGAGAGCAATTCTATTTTTAAAATTATGCACTAAAACTAAGATCTTGTACTGTATGCATCAAAATAACCTTGCAAGGGGAAATACAGTATGTCTAAAGTAATTGTCAAGAATGAACTTGTTTCAGTATTGAAAGGGATTACAGTCATTGATATTTCTGTTGTAATATTGTATTATATTAATATTTCCAGAAACAACCTCATCATAGTTTTTTTTCTTATTTCCTTAGTTGGTTGATTTGCAGTGGAAACTGGGAATGGCTGTGAGCTCAGACACCTGCAGGTCCCTCAATTACCCTTATGTCTCCATGACTTTAAAGATTGCTGACACTACAGGGCAACTATTGAGTAAATCCTTTGAAATGACAGTCCCACAGTTCCAGGTCAGTTCCCTTGTTTTACTTACTTTCAATATAAGTGGGTCTTCAAAATACAAACCCAATACTAAACTCCAGAGTCTGTTTCTATGTTCTCACTGACATTGTTGCAATGTGAATTTAATTACAATTAGAATTAATATTTTGCATTCTTGCTTAAAGATACTGTATACTACAATATAGCATACTGATAGGAGAAAGCCTGATTGTCTTTTGTAATAAAATCATAATTTTAGTAGACTTGATTTATATATTAATTTTGTCTTGTTTACCTGTTTTTTTTTCTTCTACAATTATAACTTTATTTTATTCTTATTTTCAGAACTTCTTTAGGCAGTTCAGAGAAATGGCAGCTGTTTTAGAAACAGTGTAATGGTGACGGCCTGGAACTTCCTACTTATTCTGCTTGATATGATCTCTCCTGAAACATAAAACAGGACACGGATGGCAACTTTGTATAACTGTCACTGAGTACAAAGATGCTTTTACTGTGTTGTGGGATGCAGTATATAGAAGAGAAAAAGAGAACAAAAGAATACAGGTGCATGACTGTATTTATAACATTTGTTTATTTTGCAGTACACTAAACAAGACTGTACCAGCACAAGCATGTTTTGATCTGTTATTCAAAACACATCTTTGGAGAGCTTTTAAAAGCTAGAGTGTCCCTGAATGAGGTCTGTTCTGAAATCTACAGAATTGTGTGTAGTATTAAATTGAGTTCTATTTAAAAAGATCAACACAAAACCAGTTATGCCTTTATTTAGTTGGCTGGTACTGTTTAAAATACTTAAAAACAAAGACATAAAACATGAGTGACCTGTATGAACATAATCATTTTACCCCACCTATTCTTTTTTAAAATAAAAATAAACTTGGCTGTCCACCCTTTGTTTCACTATGTTTATCAGTTTCTCCTTAACAAATGTCTGAACTAGCAAAAATGAATAGTGGTTGTCACCACTTATACATAGCTTTTTTTATCTACATCAGACAACACACAGCCGTCTTTTACATGGAGTGCATGTTGTTACTGGACCCACCATGTAGTATACTGTACAGCCAATAAAACCAATAAAAAACTTCCATGTGTTCCACTCAGCTTTACTATGGCTACAGTAATGATTTGATCATGCAGCATAAAACACTGGAGTACAGTATATCCTGGAGTTGTCACTTGTGACTTGGCTTAATGTACCGCTTTTGTGATTTGTTGGAACTGTTTCTTGACACTGCAGATTGCAACCTAATGACGTTATAGAGAAGCAGGAGGAGCTTTTGCATTGTCTATAGCATAAATGGGGAAGAATATGAGCTCTGACTGGGTCTGTTATTTGTCTGCCAGCCCCTGGGGTGAGGTACATTACCACATGTTCAGAAAGTGGTGGTGGGGCTACATTAGTTGCATATTTTATCTATTTCTGGAAGACAGCTTAATGCTTGGGAATCCTGTTACAGGTTTCAAGGAACTCCAGACAGCACTGGAGCACTGAGCACAGCTGATACTCCTAACCTCAGTGTGCGATAGGTTTCGCAGACACAACACCACCAAGAAAGTATTATTTAGTGTTTGGCTGTGTTCCACATGACGTATACTACAGCTTTCTTGCTGGACAGTAGGACTGTGAGCACTAGCAGATGTTTTCCACCTGGATGTACTGTTTGTACACTTTACCATAAAATAAACCAAAAACAGTGTGTTGCAGAATTCTTTGTAGTGTATAAGGAAAATTGCACTGCAGGTATACAGCTCTTAAAAAGAGCAGCCATGTTATGGGTACTGAATAATTCCTTTACAGCATTGATGACATATGAATTACCTACCTAAGGTCACAAGAAGATATTTTTCCAAAGTGAAAGTCTATTAATACTTTTAACCCACATGACTCCGATTTTACTAAATTCTCGGAAAACTGATCACACTGAAGCCTAGTCCAGTGTGAATATTGAGAAACTGGGCACACAAGGAATAGTTGAAATATACCTTTAGCATACCTTATCCAACCATCCATTTTCTAAAAACTTCATCCAAATCAGGGTTTACAATCTCAAGCTCTGCAATCGTTCATTGAATATAAGTTCAGAAAGCACATCAAGTTAGATATACACACAAAACCTTCTTTTATTAATAAAGACTTTACTAATAAAATCTGTGAAATTATAATGTTCTTAAAATTACTTCCAGGCCTTTTTAATTGCTCTTCGTTCCTCGATCTTAGATGCTGCATCTAATCTCATCAACATTAATATGTGTCGTCTCATCACTTAGTCACTCATTAGACCTCTAAGGATAGCATAAATCTCCTGACGTAAAAGAAATCGAGACAAGAATGAAGGGTTATGAGCCCTTTTTTTTCCGTCTGACTAGACAGCATCTTGTTAAGTATATGCTAAAGTGCATAAACCCATATAACTTACTCCTTATGGCTGGAAACTCATATAATTTATGTTTATGACATAATGTAACAAAGTTCTAACCCCTCATTTTGAGGTATCCTATCTAGGTACACTATTTCTGTGCCTGCGTAATCACAGTAGATACCTTAGTAACTTAACCATTTTGTTTTGCTGCAGCGACAGTCATTTTAGCGACAAAACTCGTGTAGTGTATCTTGTCGGTTTTTCGGAAATGCATTCTGAGATGCTACCCGAGTCAGGACAGAAGCCATGAGCCTTTGTCAAGCCATCCAGAGAAACCCTGGTGCACAGGCAAGGCTGGAAAGATGGGCACTCAAAGCGCCATGTGCAGTTTCTCCTCCCACCGTAAGGACGCAGCAGCGCCTTTTTCCTTGCACGGTGAAGTAGAAGGAAGCCTCCTTAGTCGTGTCAAGTACAGCCACTCCTCTCGGAGCTACAGGCAGGCAAGACCAGTCCCCCCGCTGATATTACAGCTAGCAGTGGCAAACATAAACAGTGTGGAGGGCATGCTCGTTGGGGAGTGGAAGCAGCCCCATGAGATCCAGAACTGAGCGCAGTCCAGCATTGCAGATCATGGGTTAAATACATCCGTGCGCGTCTATACACACGAAAACAAGTTTTCACATTCTCTCGCTATCTATTTTTCCCCCGTCTCGTTTTCCGTGTTACCAGCTGGAAAGGACGCCACGTTTAAGCTCGACGTGCTCATGCTCTTAAGGTAGGGGACTGAGTTGTGTTTCCCGTGCGTTTTAAAAAAAAAAGATTTGCCTTCGGACGGAAATCATCAGCGAAAAACCGAATCGAAGCAAAGAGCGGAACAGCAGGAAAATCTCCAACCTGAAGAACTGGATGTTTTATGCATTTTGCTCTTTGTGCAGAAGTGCACATGTGTGATGCAAGCGCGTCCTCAGTAATAACTTTTTTATCCTAAAGGAAAAGTTTACAGTGAATGTATACTGAGTTTATTTCCCAGGTCAACATTTGCAATAATTTACAGACTTTACAAATCTACAAGCGATTGCATTCTTCAGAACGATAGCTCGTAGCTTCCCTACCGAAACCCAATATTAGCGATACACATACTCGCTTTTAAAGACCTTTTGTTTTGGTTTCTCGTGGTGGTCTTGAATTAAACGGAGATGGAAGCTACGGACAGTCAGGATGACAAAACGAATAACCCGTCGAAGTCCGAGAAGAGGTTTGCGCTCTGGTACATGGGCTGGTCGCCTCTGGACAGGCGGACCACGCTGCCCATGCTGCCCTGGCTGGTGGCGGAGATCCGCAGGAGACGTGAGAGGAGCGAAGCAGGTTCGGCCCAGGCCAGGGAGGTGCAGATTATTCTGATCCCACCGCTCATACGCTGCGTTCCTGCGAGCAACAGCAGCTCGTCCGTCTTCATCTTCGAGCACAAAGCACAGCATATATCCAGATTCATTCACAACAGCCATGACATCACCTATTTTGCCTACCTTATCAGGACTCAGCCTGACAACCCTGAATCCGAGATGGCGTGCCATGTTTTCAAGGCATCAGACCCAAACCAGGTTAGTGCGTTTCAGGCTCGTGTGGCCTTTGGTCATCGATATGGAAGTGTGCACGTGCGGTCCGTGCAAGAGGCTACACGATCAGAATTTTTTACAAGGTTAGCAAGTAGACAGCCCTTCCTTTCAGCTGCTAAGGGTTACGATGAGGCACGTTTTGACGCGCGGAAGGTCTCAGTTTAGTAGTAACTCCCGTCTGAACCGGACTGTTGTGGAATGTCCATGTGCACTGGTGCTGCGCCGATTCGCAAGAGAGGCTCACTGCACAGTGAGCGACATGTTTACTGCATTTCCTGAGGATCTGTTACTGCACGGGCGATTGTAACTGCCATGATCTCACTGAATCAAGACGCTTTATGAGCACAGTTGACTGGGTGTTCTAGGCTTCACGGGGTGAGCTGCTGGGTGAGCGAGAGTGTGACACGAAAGCAGTTTCTGTTGCTCATGAATAGGAGGCTTTCATAGTTCATATATATATATGTGCTCTCTATTCTGAGCTAAACCTGTATGAAAAGCGTAGACCTTGGAACATTGCTGATTAAATTATCAGCAACGTTATTTAAAAATAACCTTATCGTTTTAGAAACTGAGATCCCCTCGATCCTAGAAATTCGAGAAAGTCGCTGATCAGTTTACTTTATTATTATTGGGCTAAGGTAATGGTTAATTTGTTACAGGCTGAAATCGCCGGGCTCTTACTGGAACTCCACCCTCAAAGAAAAAAAGGGGTACATGTAACATCTGCCTGAATCATTACTGATTTTTTTCATTACATCAGATTTTTTAAAACTGTATTGCGTCGAGAACGAAATGGATTGACACATGACTATTTAAGTAGGACTAACTCATCAGCCCTTGGAATACTCAGATTTTTGAAAACAACTTCCTAAGAGAAGCTGCGTTATTCTGTTGCGTTGATGACGTGAAACTGTCGTCTGTTGATGCATATTTATTAGCTAATTTTTTATTCTAGATTAGAAACTTTCGTCATCTAACCCTTTTAACATAAAATTGTACGCTTAATTTCTTTGCAATTATCAGTTTGTATTTTCTTGCTAGTTTTCTGCCTCCTTAAAGTACAGCGCTTGGAGCTGCCCAGAGTATGTAAAGCAGTATGCGACTTAATCCTGAATATGTTTGTTTTTATGTACAAGATAAAATCTGCAATCTTTGATTCAGTATATATTTGTTAATATGTATTATTTGGGAAAAAAACATAGTGTGGCAACATTGAGGCTGACTACCACATGAAGAGGTTTGGCTCAACTCCCTGTTCGCTGTAGGTCATAGATGGGTGTGGACTGCGTTCTGTGCAGTGTATATAAACCGAAGTAACGCAAGTATTACAATCCCAGATATGTAAACTCGCTCGGGCACTTTGTCTTGTAGTTATTCTTTTTGTAATTACCTCTTGTGTATGACAAATAACATTCCTTTATTTTCAGCCCTGGACAGTTGTATAATATAGATCATTCAAAAGCCCAGTAGTAACTATAAAACGTGTGTTCATGCCAAGCACATTTTTAAAATATGGTCTTGACTCTTATGCTCTCTCGGTACGGTGCAGTTCTATTAATAGTACCGATTTCCTTTCCAAGGTAGTAAACTGCTAAAGATGTGAAGAAGTATTGTCTTTTTAGCCATTCAAAATGTCTAACACTTTTAATCTCTGTCTTTTGTACCTTTTTAATTACACTTCTTCAAAATTATTTCCAGAGCTGTAGGAACATGATCTCTGGTTTTAATTAAAGTGCTGTAGTTGCTTCCAATAAATGATACAAGTACTTTTTCTTTCTTCAATGGAAAATATCAAACTATCATTGTGAGATTGTAGAGCAAACTATTAATGGAAACGTGAAAGTAATAAGAACATAAAATGCATAACATAAATGAATAAAAAATATTTAGAAGTATCTCTTTTGCTAGATACATTTGGATTCATGCTTCAGACTTTAATGTATTTTGATTAAATCCTTTGGTTAGAAACCCCAAACTCTGTAATAAGTCTTGATAATATCAGTAGCTGGTGATGACCAGGATTTCCCAAGATGCACTGCACAGGTGCCTGAAGCTGCACTGAGTTGTCTGTCATCTTATGGTGTCATTAGTGAGAGGCACATTGCTCTTTTGCTGGCAGTTGCCCTGCTGTAGGCACAGTGTGATCTGTAGTGTTGGAAATGGTGGATGTGATGGGGGATGATTTGTGGGAGTGACTTTATAGTTCTCATTTGTTTTTAGAGATGGTGACTCCCTCCTAAACGTGTGGGCCTGAGAGAGGCTTGATTGCATCTTCCCTGAAGGGGTGGGGAATGGGCTGTTCTAGCTCAGCAGACATGCTAGATGCATGTTTTCTAAAGCATCTGCCTTATTGCTGAACCTCCTCTGTTTGGCTCCTGCCTCCGGCAGTGACCCCACCCCTGTCTATTTTGTCCTTGGCGCTGGGGTCCTAGTGCATGATGGGACGGGTGATTGACAATCAGGGATACCAGATTGGGGCAGTATAAAAATAAAATGTCCTCATTCCAAACATAGAATCTTGGAGGGTTCTAGAAATGGTTTGTGAAATATGTTTTTATTGTGTGTTTATCATATAAAATAGTTTTTAGTTACATATTTTATAATATAGCCTAGTCTCTTCTTTCCGTTCATTGTTGGAATATTTATAGGCTGGCCAAAATAAGCTCAGCAATAGTTCTGTGCTGGCTTAGCCCACAGAGCCATTTCCAAGGCCTTTATTATCGATATAATTATCACAGTACATTCAGTGAATTATCATTTTTAAAAAGTATGTTTTCGTTTATGGTTAGTTAATTGCTGCTTTCATATAACTTAAATTAAGACTGAACAAGTCATTGTTTTCTTAGAAAACCTTCATTAAAAATAATTTGCTGGAAAGTTGCTTCACGCCTTTCATTGCCATCTAAAAGTTTGTGGATGTTGCAGATATTTTGTGAACAAGGCCTTTTTATTGAAACTCAGACATGTTCAACTCTTCTGCTATTCAGCTTGTTGCAGCTATATGCTGGAACCACATCTAGAACTATTGATTTATATTGCATTTTCCACTTAAGTCAGTGTTCAGGTGTCAGCACCTCATTCCTCAGATATGGGAGCTCCCACAAAACAACACAGACTTTTAATACTGACAAAGCTCTGGGAAATATCTTACAAACAGTATCTTACTGGTGTTGTTATGTTTCAATTGTTAGTTTTAAACATTTTATGTTGCATTTTCTTTTTTTTTGTGAAATACTGTTTCCAGTTTGCCAAAAGATTGTATGGAAAAGCTTTCAACCAAACCTTACTTTCACCAGGTTGTAAGTTTGTTTGTAACCTCGCCCTTGTCCATTTCTTTTACTACTTCTTATTTGCTTTAATGGAAATCCTTGTTACCAAATACGAAATATTTTCATTTTCAGAACAGCTGTTTTTTTTCTAACTGCAGACACACTGTTTGAGAAGTACTGTAACTAAGGCACCACACACTTTTTGAACTCCTTTAATAAACAAAGAGGCAGAGCTCTCGGGGAGAGCTCTGTATGTTTCCTGTGCCCTTGTTATTCCAAGAAATCAAATGCATGGTCTGCACATATTGCACAGTACTGTCTGGTACGATCTGTGTTCCTTGTGACTCTGACAATGCTATTTGAGTTAGGTGCAGTATGTACTGTATTCAAGGCAATGTGTATGGGCAGGCAAGGGCAAGAGTTTACAGGATTTAGAAATGAGGGGATCTTGTTCATTTATTGTTGGTGATAATCTTTCTATTCCATTTTGCTGATTATAGAGAATGTTTATATGTAGTTCAGGTGGGTAGCTGCGTCAGCATGTGTAGGCTGCAAAGGAACAGGTTTATTCCATGCTGAAAAGAGAAGAAAGAAAGCACAACGTTTCAGCTGTTGTTTGAGTGTCGTATATGTATTGTTATTCAGAGGATAAAGAAAAGGCAGATACTTCCATTTGTTCTATTTTGTCTTTCTATTGTTATCATCATCTTGTGCCCGCATTAATTCCGCATTAAATCGGCTTTACCATACTTTCACAATAACCTTTAGGTAGTTCAGGTAGGGAGCTGCGTCAGCATGCCTAGGTTGCAAAGGAACAGGTAGCGGGTTTATTCCAAAGCTGAAAAGAAAAGAAAGGTGTGACACCAGAAGAAGGCTTCACAGTGGAAACGTTGTTTCCTTCATTACCTTTCCAGCATAGAATAAACCTGCTACCTGTTCCTTTGCAACCTTTAAGTAGAATCTTTACTAAAATGCAAAGTTAGTAACATTAGGCCTGTGCCTAAAAATGGACAGTGATGGAACTCAAGTGGGTCTTTTTACAGGGGATTACAATGTAGTTAATGTCATTAAAACATGAAAGACATGAAAATTCTGAAGCATGGTTAATATATATTATCAGAAGCATTGTATCTTTGTTCAAAATAATATTTGATTTTCTCTAGCTCTACAGTCTTACTCTTGGGACACAGGTTCAGTTCTGCTGGGTGTAGGTGCTCATGTGTGGAGCTTGCATGTTCTCTCTAAATTTGCATGTTTTCTTCAGGTACTGTATTTCAGTTTCTTCCCACCTTCAAGTAATTGGTGTCTCTAAATTGTAGCTGTGTACTTGAGTTTGTGTGTGTTCCCTGCAATCAATTGGCCTTCTAGGATGTAGCTCTTCTTTGTGCCCTGTGCTTGATGGATAGACTCCAGGTGACTGTGAATCTTATCAGGAATAAGCAGCTTTCTTTTAGTGGGTGATTTAATTTCAGGTGATATTTCAATATAAAACTAACTGCAGCATTTATTCCTATATAGTCCTTTGGTTCTTCTCACTTGAACACTGTTCAAGTGTTCAAGTGAGGTCTGTTTTAAATCATTTTTACCCACCTATGAACTGTAAATTAATGCCCCTTATCTCAACTGTGGGTGTCGACTGAGTAGATAACAAGAGGCTTGATATCGGTCTCTCAGCTTAGCTGTTTGACAAGGTCCCATGGCCACAGTGTGTGTACT